CAAAGACTCACCACCCATGTTGTGCAAGGAGTCTGGGCAGCAAACCCAGGCCCTCGCCGTGCCAGCCCTTGGGGCTCCTTCCTCTCCGCTCTAACCTCGTGCATTGCTGTTTGAACAGGGCCCATGAACATCTGTGAGGAAACCGCGGTGCTGCACGGCGGGTTCCTGCTGGCTGCGAAGCGCTATCACCCCAAGGCACTGGCGGAGTTGGCCAAGGCTGACTGGCACCACGTTGGGCCACCCATCACCGATGCCTTGAAGGAGATCTGCGCTGGCCGCACCACCTCCCTGCCCCAGCCCTGCAGCTGGAAGAAGAAAGCCGTGATGATCATCTGGGCCAAAATCCTCCTGCCCAGTCCCGGGCCCGCCAAGGTTGACCAGAGGTGGAAAGATGACGCCTTCTTCTCAGTGTGCAACATGATCCCCTGTCTCAACCGCACGGTTCTGTTTGAGCTCCTTAAAGCACTGAATGCACCCTGGCTCTTTGTGCAGCTACTGCTGGCACTGCCTGCGGGCATCTGTCAGCAGGAGCTCGAGCTGTTGGTTGAGTATGTTGCAAATGAGACGACCCCAGCGGACTTGAGGTTTTTCTTAGACGTCTGGTGGGAAATCATGAAGCGCAAGGAGGGGCAGCAGGACCAAGCGATCCTGACATTCGGTGCCCTTATCCACCAGCACCTGTCCGAGCCACTGGATGAGGGCTGCCAGCCTCCAAAAAGGTTTAAAGGCGATCCCCTGTCCGTGCACGACTCCCCTCTTACCACCGAACTGCTCACAGTCCTGGTTGATGGGCTAAAGCATATCTATGGATGTATTGTCACTCCCAGAATGAAATGCTATGCCCTGGCCAACCTGGTAGATCTGCTGTCGGTGTTCACTGTAGTAGAGCAGGAGTCCAGCGTGCTGCCCGCTGCGGAGTATCTGGACAAGATCACATCTGTAGTCATTCTCTGGAATGGTGACCATGAGAGCCACTACCACCCGCGGGGGCTAGAGGAGAAGGTGAAGGAGGCGGAGCGGAGCATGAGCCTGCTCTCCGTGGTCAAGCTGTCCAGCGAAGAGCTTTTTGTCGGCTTGCACTTCTTCCACAACCTGCTGCAGGGCTGGAGTGAAGAGCTGCAGTGCATGCTGAACAGCCGCCAGGAGGTTTGCTACGAGGGCTACCGGCTCCTCGACAGCCTTGCCACCTTTGGGAAGAACCTGGTCTGCTTTGCCGAGGCCAGGGAGCTGGGCAAGGATGAAAAGCAGGTGGTCCTGGAGCTGGCAGAGATCATCATGGGCTTCCTTAAGCAGATCAACCCTGACCTGCAGGGCAGGGACTCAGACAGCAGCATCATGGCCTCAGTGGCCATGACAATCATTGAGCAGAAGATGGAGAGGCACCCGGAAATGTGCTCCATTTTTGCTTCTGAGAAGGCCTGGGCCTTCTCGAGGGACTGGGTCGCCTGCCTCATCAAGAATAAAGTCCTCTTCCAGAAACCAGACCTGGTTTTGAAGCTGCTGGAGACCACGGTGACTTTCAGCCTCTCCTCCAACAACCGAGAGAGCCGAGAACTGCAGGTCAAGGTAACCAAAACCATCCTGGAGTGCTACACTGAGCTGTCGCTGCCTGACAAGAACAAAGTGATCTCGGGCGTCCTTGACTCATGGGGCGGGCGGGGCCTATCCTTGAGCTTGAAGGCTTTCACCGAGGGCTTCCAGGAGGAACTGAACTTGGCTTTTAACCAGATCACGCGAAGCGTGTCAGATCAGGGCCTGACCAAGGCCGTGGCCTCGGTGGCGAGGCTGGCACTGCTCCACCCAGAGGCCACGGTGAAGAAGGTTTGCAACCTCGCAGTCGTCAACCTGGGGACACATCAGTTCCTAGCACAGATCCTGTGCTCGTTCCCAGCGCTGAGCTTCCAGGAAGCCCAGGAGGGCTTGGGCAGGGGGGGCAGCCTGCTGGTGAGGTGCCTGAAGGAGACGGTGTGGGGGAAGCTGTCTACCGCAAAAGAGAAGGAGCAGTTCCTAGAGTTCTTGGCTGTTCTGCTGCAGCCAAGCTCAGCAAGTCCTCTCCTCTCTCCCGGTGAGGTGACCCAAGCCTTCGTCCTGCCCTACTTGAAATCGGATTGTGCCCACATTGAGCTAAGCCTGCACATCCTTAACAAGGTCCTGGGGCTACAGTCGGGGCACGATGAACACTGGATCAAGACCTGCCACCCCTTCCCTCTCCTCCTTGGTGTCTGCAAGCTCCTAGACAGCTACACACATTACTGGCATTGGTTGAAGGACCAACCGTGTCCTGCACTGGAGACCAAAGACTTGGTAGCTACCACCTTGGCCCAGCTCTGCGAGGTGGTGGAGCAGAAAGCCGCCCCCTCTCTGGAGGTCTGGAACCAGTCGCTGGCCTGGCTGCACCGCAAGGTGGAGCCATTGGACTGGACGGTCGGTCTCCGGCTGAAGAAGCTTTATGGCGATCATTTCAAGAACGAGGTCCCGGCCACGCTTTTCGAGATCTGCAAGCTCTCGGAGGACGAGTGGACATCCCGCCCGCTCCCAGCCTACGGGCCAGGCAGCGGTCTCCTGGCGTGGATAGAGTGCTGCTGTATCTCTACCGCGCTGCGGGAGCAGATGCTGGTGCTTCTGGCCATCAACGTGGACAATCCCGAAGAAGTCAACCTCTTCAGCAAGGGCTTCCTGGTGGCCCTTGTCCAGATTCTTCCGTGGTGCACTCACGGGGAGTGGAAGAGGCTGGCCCACGTGATCCAGAGCTTGCTGCAGCGGCAGGTCCTCCATGTGCCCTACAGCTTGGAGTACGTGCAGTCCCTGCCGCTACTTAACCTCAAGCCGTTCGCCCACCCGCTGCAGTTCTCCGTGCTCCTCCTGCGAGGTTTCCAGTTCCTGTGCAGCTCCAGCTGTTCCACCTGGCTGCTGGAGGAAGCCTGGCAGCACGTGGTGAGACTCTACTGTGGCAGCCTCACGGATCTGCTGGGCACAGTCAAGGGGGCCCTGCCATCCCCCTGTCCCACAGCTGAGGACAAGGACCTGACACAGGAGGCCTCTTTTGTCTACATCCAGCTCTTTTGCCACGTGCTGCATGTGGTGGCCATGCTCCCAGACAACGGCTGCAGCGAGCCCCTCGGGGTGCTGGCCCTCGAGACTGTCTCGCAGTATGACGCGCTCCGCGCCATCGACCACTCCCTCAACAGCTCGCTCAGGAGGGCCAACGAGAAGTACTTCCTGGCATCAATCGCTGACAGTGTCAGCCAGCAGGAGCTGCGTGCCGCGCTCCAGCAGAAGCTGAGCAAGCTGTGAGCTGGGCCGGGCTTGCCTGGAAATGCGGCACCCCGGCTCGGCCCTGTGGGTCGCAAGCACCGGGGTTGCGTGGTGTGGAAACTCTCCCCAGTGGAGGAGGTGGTAGCTGCAGATTTGTTACATCTATAATAAACCTTTTGCTTTTTTCCTTCCTTTTGAGTTTTGGGGGTGGGTATTTTTTAACAGGCCGAAGGGTTTAAGTGTGGGTGTCAAGTGCTCTCAGGGCGGCGCGTCCCATCCCCAGAGCTCTGCCTGGGAGCATCAGCACACTGTTCAGATGCCTCCATCCATTGCGGGGGTTAAGCAAGAGGCTGATAGCCTGGTACCTGCCTCTGGCGGGTGAGGGTCAGTAGGGAGCTCAGCCCCTGTTGTCTGCTCGGTCATTGGGCCCCCCTCTAACACTGCGTGCAGGGGTGACTTACAGCAGGGGCACCTGCCCACTGGGAAAATACCCTGGCATGTCCTGAGCTCCCTTCACAAAGGCCCCCATGGTAATGGATGGAGATGCTCAGAGACGAGCGGGCTACACGAGACTCGCTGCGCCTGGGTTCTGAACAGATTTCTTTATTGGTCTCTTCCGAGGGTGCAGTAGTAACCAGAGCAGTGTTAGTGCAAATGGAAAGGCCTCGGCTGGTCCGTTCAGCCTTTTCTTTACATAAGGCATGTTATTTGTAATACAGACGGCAAGAGAAATGTGTCCACAGCCATCCGTCCTGCGTTGGAGCCTCTGTGGCTGGCTATCGTGCATTAGGAAGCCCCTGTTGCAGGAAGGGAACAGCTGTGGCGGCTGCTTTGGAAAGAGCTGCTTTCTTTGCTCGTTCAGCTGCATGGGGCTGGGCTGGGCCTCGGGCCTGCTGCCTCCAGGATAGGGGGCTCAGAGCTACCTACGGGCTTCCAAACCCCACTGTTAGGCCTAGGGCACAGCCGCAAAGCCACGAGGTGGCCACGGTCTCTGTAAACTCCTTACTCTGTAAGCAGCTAAGATGAGGCTGAGGGGAGGGGGCGGATTTGCTTCTTGGGGTCACGCCCCAGGGACAAACGCGGCCCCATAGTGCTGGCACTGCAGGTTACAAGGAGTCGGGATCTGTCTGGATGTTTCTCGCACGTGCGGTGTTCGCTTTGCTGGTGGCTGCGAGGACCAGCCAGCGTTTGGCTTAGGCACCTGTTGGGGCCGTTGTTCCCCGGTGACGAGGACAGGCCTGACCCGGCTCTGGAGTGGGAGCGCTGCAGGCTGGGGCCCCTTCCCATAGATTTGTGGCACTTTGGTGGGGGGAAGTGTTTGCTCTTTTGTCAGCACAGCAGAGTGCTGGGGCCAGTCGGCCCGGAGGCAACAGGCAGACAACTAGCTCTAGGGTAGGTTCAGGGACGCTGCCTGCTCCAGCAGCTTGTGTGGTTTCATGCCTAGACCCCAGATCTGGTTCCTTCCTTGGGGTTTTGCTCGGCCTTCTCTGCGCGGAGAGGCGAAGGGCTGGGCGGGAGGGTTGGGCTGGAGGCAGCACTGACATCCTGGTGATTCTCCAGGCTCACGGTGTAATCTCCGTGTTTGCACTGGCGTGTACAGGCGCACACTTGACACACAGGATCCACTTCCTGGCAGTGCCTGTGCCGAGCATGGTGTGCTCGTCCCCACTGCTGGCACCAGGGTTTTGGGCCAGTCCTGGGACACGTCTGCATGGAGCATAGCCAGAGGGAACCAGCAGAGTTCAGCCCCAGCATTGGGGTGATGGGAACGGACTCTGGGCAGCACCTCCGGCACCATCCCCCTGGGGCGAGACCCCCCTCTCAGCACCCAGGTAAGGACTGGTCTTGCACTGCTGCCACATGCTAAGCAGTGCTAGTCGCACCCAGGTCCCTTACAGCACTGGCTTTGGCCTCGTCTCCCCCTAGCCTCCAGCCTGGCTGTTCAGAGTCCATTTTGCTGCATCAGTCATAAAATAACAGACAGTGAGGGTTGAAAGGACCTCAGGAGGTCACATCTTGTGCAACCCCCTGCTCAAAGCACGACCGGCCCTGACTAGGTCACCCCAGCCAAGGCTTTGTCTAGCTGGGTCTTAATACCCTCCCAGGCTGGAGGAGCGGTGCTGTGAGCTGTCCCCTCTCCACCCCGTGGTCTGCAGCATCTAACAAGTGAGCAGTTTGCCAAGGGCCTGATCCCAGCAAGAGTCTCGCACCTCTCCAGGCAATGCTCCCACTCACTGGCTCGTGCCCAGGCAGTGCCATGGGCAGGATGCAGGGTGCTCGAGCGTTACAGGGGGAGAAGTCCTGCGAGAGGCTGGCGCTGCTTCCCAGGCTCGCCATGGGGACAGCGTGGAAATCCAAACACCCTCGCTGCCCCAGGGGGATGCGGCTGTCCCCAAGGTGGTGCCTCCAACACCGGTTGTACAGGCTAGGCGGCTGGGCAGAGTGCCAGGTGCTGGCCCTGTTCCCAGCCTTGCGCTCCGCGGCCCGCACCAGCCGCTATCGGCTCTTGTCGGACGAGGAGCAGCTGTAGAGGCGGAGGGCTTTCCTGCAGATCAGCACGAACCAGTAGAGCTGTGGGGCAATGAGGCAGGCATTGGCCACGTTGCAGTGCACGGGGATGTGGAAGGGGGCTGCGTAGAGGGGGATGCCCACCTGCCGGGCATACGCCCCGTACATGAAGGGGAAGAGCAGGATGCGGCAGAGGAGGAAGGTCACCAGGATGAGGACCCCATTCACCTTGTGCAGCCGTGTGTCCTGCATGTTTAGCTGTGGAAGCAAACGGGGGCGGGGATGAGTGCCGTGCCAGTGCCGCGTCCCCATGCCTTCCTCCGTGATGGGTAACTACGCCTGCCTTGCTGGGGTGCGTGGAGATCTACGGATCGGTGCTTGCCCCACTGAGCTTACAGTGTAAGGGCCAGGTCCAGCCCTTGCTCTAGGCCGTGGCAAGACTTGTGGACTCCCAAGGGCTTTGGGCCAGGCTTTAAGACAGGCTGACAGGAGCAGAAGGGGAAACTGGACTTCCTAAGGAGAGAGGAGCGGCGAGGAGAGGAAAGGGAAACCCTTGGAAGAGGGATAATGAGCACAGCAGAGAGGGTGGTTTTGCACAGGATGCTGGGCTTGGAGGAGGAGGCAAGCGTGGCTGCTTGCTACCGAGTCACTCCAGTGCAACCGGGGCAGGATCAAGCTCAAATCCCTGCAGATCCTGTCCGTGCTGCTTTCTGGCTGGTGGCTCGATCACAGCCCGAAGGGCTGGAGTAGCTGCCCCGTCCCTCCACCCGCGCAGCATTGCGGACCCGCAGGCCGTACCTGCATCAGGGTTTTACCCAGCGACACGAAGGGAGTGCTCAGTTCTGCCAGGAAGATGCAGCCGACGAAGAAATCCCCCAGCTCCCCGCGGAAGTGCTGCGGACAGACAGAACGGCATGAACACGCCAGCAGTTTTTCCCACGTGCTTGGAGCCTGCTCTGCGGCAGCCACCCGAAGGCTTCCCTCGCCCCCGCTGCGGCTGGACCTAGCCCTTCCGGGAGCAAGCTGCACGAGCGGGAGTCCTGTGCTGGCGTGATGCACTCTGGAAACCACTTGAGAGTAAAACCTGCTCTGCTCGTGGCAGCTGGCCCATGGCACGGGGGGGGCACAGATCCCAGAGCGGCACCCGCTCGCTGAGCGGTCGGAGACATGGAGCTGAGCTCTCCTGGCTGCCAGCCAGCCCAGGCATGCAGCACGGGTGCACTGAGAGCCGCGCGGCAGGTGCTGGGAAGCAGCACGCAACTCGCCAGAGTCCCTGCATGTCACTCCCCGTGTAAAGCTGAGCCACGCGTGTTACCGTGACCCTCCTTGGGGAGGGGCTGGGAGCCACAGCACTGCCCCCTTGCCCCCCGCACCCGCCCTTACCTGCGTGATGGGTGTGAGGACGATGAGGATGAAGAGGTGGTGGGTCACCATGAGGCGTTCCTTCTTCAGGAAGCTCCTCACGCTGGCCAGCGAGTTCTTCTTCTCCGCCGTCCCCGAGTCTTTGCTTCTGTGCCAGTGGCACAGGTACATGACGTAGATGTCGTAGGTCATGTAGGGGACGATGACCCAGACGTATTCCACCGCCAGCCAGTGCCTGTGGGGAGCAAGGAGCACAGAGCGACAGCCTGCTGCACCTCGGGGACCCCGGGAGGCGGGGGCAGTCCAAGCGTCCGAGTCACCCGTGCGTGTCTCCGGCCGCAGCCTGTGGCTATGCCTCCAGGGCCCAAAGTAGCACTCGCTTCTAATAGGCGACCCCCTGCGTCTAACCGGACACCAGCCTTCCCGGGGCCATGTTGAGCCTCTCTCGTTTGTCCCCTCACCTGTGGCTGCTGCTTTCACTCGCAGGGCCTCTTGCATCGGAGGATCCCAAAATGCAAGCGTGCGGAGCTAGAGAAAGGGCGACACTTCCGCCCGCCTCGCCCACGGGAACGGCTGTTTGCAAACCCCGCCGAGATCCCTGCATCCACACGGCTGAGTCCCCAGTGACGAGACATCTGCCTCGTGTGTTTTATTCATGCAGAAAAATGCCTCGCGATGGGTGGTTATTGGGAAATAACTGCATGCCACTGCCTGTTCTCACTGCATTTTAGAGTCGCACTTGCCCAGGGAAAGCTAATTACAGCTGCTGTTTGCAGAGAGACCGGCCTTTTTTATGTGGGCCGGCAGAAACGTGGTCTGAATCCGGCCGTCAGTGTCCCGATGCCTGCCTTGTGGCCCTGTTTCAGATGGGGAGGGGATCTGCTCGTTACCGTGTGGGGCACACTTGGACTTGAGCTCCTCTGTGAACAGCTGGGACATCCAGAACAACTAGCCGGGCTTTCCTTTGCACGTTAAAGGTCTTGTTCCTTTCCTGCATATTGAAGCGCTCCCTTGTGAAGCCCTCAGTCTTACTACCCTGTCACTTCAACCACAGGAGCTAAGTCTTTAGCAACCTCAGCTTTTCTCCCAGGGCCACAGTTTTTGGAGGGCGTCAGACTGAGAAGCGGCTCCAGGCAGTAGGAAGGCTGTTGAGCAAGCGTTTGGGAGCAGGCATGAGGGGCAGTTGCGGATGTGGCCTGTTCCTGCAACCACTTTTCCCGTGTCTTACAGCTCGAGTATTTTACGCCACGATCTCACCAGATTTCTTATGCTAAGCAGGGTTGGGGAAGTTT